GCCAGGCTTCGTTTGGCCCAGCCCCACCCCGCCTCCTTGATGATCTCAGCCAATCTAATGCTTTTCCTTTCTGATAAAGTCAGCCAAAGAGGCAGTTTGGGGAGATAGGGATAAGGTAAGATTTAATACTTTCTAATGATGCAAGCCACCTAAATTGTGGTTTCAACACTTTAGGGTCAGGAATACATGTTTGTGTTCCTGACCCTACAGTGTCCCTTTAATTCTAATTTGTTTTAATTGTATTATTTTGTAGCTAAACTAACGATATTTGAACAGTGAAAAAATACAGCATTAATATATATGAGACCATAACCTATGAACGTGTTTAAGTTGTGTTGTTAGAGCTGTTTTTTTTAGGAATTGATATATTATTTTACAAGTGTTCCTTTAAAGACTTTGGAGTCTGTTAATTAAACTGAAAGTTGAAGAACCAGTTTGCATACATAATATCCAGCCCACATTTAGGCAATTCAGATATTATTTATTGTCTTGCAATTATAATGTTAAAAAATTTATTATAGAGCTAATCCCATGAAAAATGCGTTTAATTTCGAGCATATTACCTATAATTATAAGAAATAATTAACTATTTTCCTGGTCAGATTCCTTCTTTAATTTAGCTTCATTAATTTACTACATTTGTTAGTATTTTACACTGGTTATTTTTTCATTGTGAAGGACTGTTGACTATGTCATCTCTTCTCCCCATGTATTCATAATTGTGTAAATTCAGCTACTTTGGGCACATTTTAGAGCACATGTGTAACAATGAACAATGAAGTACAGATTCATGGTTTTAGGCAGTTAACTCTATTTTCATGGGTAAGAGCATTACTCCCACAAACAGTCATAATATCTGCAGTCTGATGACATTTGGGAATCTGGGATCATATTTGTTTATTGAATGATTAATCTGAGCACACACTCCTGCATTAGCTTAGCTACAAAACTGGTAGTTCTGTTTTTGTTTTCTCTGAAGGCGTATAATGTAATGCAAGATACTGTACAATTTCTACTCTTTCCAGCTGACCCAATATTTCTGCAAAGATAAAATAATCAATGAAAACTTTTTTGTTATGTATACAAACTATCATACACAGTTACCATTTTAGCTTAAATGAACACTATAGGCACTTATACAACTGTAGCCTAATCAAGCAGTTTTGGTGAAAAGATCATGCCCCTGCAGTACTACTGTTCACTTTGTTTATACACTGTAGCCACACCTTCCTGCATGTGATTTGCACAGCTTTCTCATATATTTCCTGTACATTGGAATATAATGTTTAAACTTCCTTTCTTGAACATTCTGTTTAATTTACAATTTGTTATCAACTGCTCTGTTAATAGCTGTTAGACCCTGCAGGAGCCTCCTGTGTGTGATTAAAGTTTAATTTACTAAGCAAGTTGACATCTGATTCAAAATGAAACCATTTTTTCCATGCAGGCTGTGTAAGTCACAGTCAGGGGAGGTGTGGATAGGGTTGCATAAACAGAACCAAAACTGATTTATCTCCTGAATGGTAGAGGATTGAGTAGTGACACCACAGGGACATGATCTATAAACCAAAGCTGTGTCATTAAACTAAAGTTGTTTTTGAAGCCTACAGTATAGTGTCCCTTTAATGAAATCAACAAGGTTTGCCTGTGCAGGTTCGCATAAATGTTACTTTTAAAGGGAGACTCTAGGTACATAATACAGCTTATTGTGATTGTTATGGTGGAACCTCTCTGTTGTCCCTGCAGATATGAGTATATGGAAATTTTATTTCTGCACTGGATGCCATTCCCTCCAGGCTGTAAATCATGGAGTCCTCTTACTCCAGCGTTGTTTGGCTATAAAATATTTTTTTTAAATAAACAGACAGAGTCTGGTTGTGCAGTACAAAACAGCCTGTAATGTAAAAAGCAAATCAAAACTATGTCATTACAATTATGGAATACATCTTCAAAAAATAACCTCGGCTGATATACTTTTCCAAAGCTGCATTACAAAAATTAGACAGTAGGTGGCAGTACGGACTTATAAAGTAAAAGGGTGGAATCCTAAACTGCAAAGTGATTTTGCTTTAATGCAATGACGTTTTACATTATTTGCTTTTTATTTATTTTTTTAAAGT